CCTAAAGGTCCTCCTTCGGTGTCTTTGAAGGTAAATGAAGATTGTAGTCGTCTGTTAGATACAAAGGTATACAATTTGTACCGTACCAGTGCCCCTCCTCCCATCTGTGTCCAAATTATCAAGGAGGTTTTGAACCAATAAACTTTCTAAGGCTCTAAAGGTACTAACGTTTATAATAGTATTCAGGGACTGTAGGAAGCAGATATCATAAAATGGGAACGAGGAGGTGTACGTGCCAACTTGATAGGGAGTAAGAGTTTTTGGGAGTACAAATTTATTATTGATATGCACTGACACTGCTGTATACTTAACTATGTATGGTGGACCCTGACCCATTTTGAGGACTTGTTTACCATGTCAAGTGACTCACTGGACCAGTTCTTATTCACCGTACATGGGACAGAAATATGTCATGATGTCACGTCGGGGTCAAATGGGCTGCATGGTGTCCTCAGTTGGAAGTCACTGACATACTAGTATTTGTAGACCTGAGACTGACAAAGTCTAATAATTTGTAAACCTTGAATTAACCTTGTCATGCCTGTGTTGTCCTGGCATTGGCCTTCCAGTACATGTAACGTTAGATGTCATTGTTTTCCATTTCTAAATTTGGATTCTTAAAATATGGATTTAAATTATTGCAGTCTTGTCTCCATACTAGTCTTTAGTAGATTAACGTTACTGTACCCAACACTAGTGCTGCATACCAGTACAGGGTTCCAGTCCAAAATACCAAATGTTATCTGGGTTATCGATGGGTCAATGTCAGATGCGTTATCCCAGGACTGTGCGTCCATATTCCAGGCTACCTCAATGATTTAAAAAAAAATCCTCCTAAAGTAGGCTTTGACCCTGTTAGGAGAATGTATCGGAAGGTGAAGTAGAGGTGTTTTCACCTTTAACAATCGGAGTCTCTATAAATAGTATAGTTTTCTAAGGTCCTTGGACTTTGGCTCACTGTCGGGTTACTATTGTCAATCATTAACCTAGTATGGCTATATTAAGTTCACTGTTGAGGTTGTAACAACATCGTAGGCATCTGTCAATGTTTTACTTGGGAATTGGACAGTTGCTTATATAGTATATATACATGGATTCAATGAGGTTTAACTGAACCCCCTTGGTGTAATGTATCAGTTATACATATATGTGACTTCTCATCTAAAAATGTTTGAAGAACATGTTCATAGATCATTTAGTATTTACTTTCCCCAGAATAGGTTGTTAACACAAGACCAGGTAACCGTTAGTTGACTCTTGGCAGTGTCAAATGGGTTAATGGTGTCAAATTAATAGGAGTCACCAGGAGATGGCCATAGCAACAAATCGTACTTCAGCTGTACTTGTTTGTTTTCAGACAAAATCTAGTAAAGACATTCAAGGACTGCAAAGCTCAGTTATTACTATAGGTACCATGAAGACCGATTTAGGTGATACAATGTACCTATGTAATTATTTGTTTTTCAAAACCTGCTTTCTTGAAAAAAATAAATGACTTGTGAAAAAAAAGTACTGGTAGTAGCATGTTCCAATGTAGGCCTGAGTAATCTTCAAGCAGATGTAAGAGTGGTCTGGTTTGATCTGACTCAGTCTCAGTGTTTGTATACCTTTAAACTTTTTACATAGACAAAGCTACATCTTCACATCTGCTTGGACAGTAGGCCCCTTGATAACAAATGCAGTGTAGGTCCTTTTTAGCATATGCAAATACATGTATATGTACTTAGTAATGTAGTTGCGTGGCGGATATGGTGCACGTGTGTTCCGCTGTGTACCATCTTGGCATGTTAGCCTTCGGTCTCAGCCAAGAAAACAGAGACACAATAGACTCATGAAATGCACACGTGCTGTCTCGGAGTAAAAGGGCGTTCACCTTAGTCAAGCCTTTTCAGACTGGCACAGTATTGCATCATCGTACTGTGCCTACAGCCTAGGGGTTCTATTACATCGACTTCCTCTGTGTGTTCAGGGGAGTTACTAGTTCGGCAGTAACTGCTGCTAGGAGAATGGCATTTCTTACCTATTCAGCAGCTTTTCTGTGGGGATTTTCAATTTTCCCCATAATTCTTTCATTTACTACGGTCATCATTCCTGCCCTGAGTTCCTTGGGTCTATGTAAGGTATATATGGACTGTCTAGAGAAGGCTTTTGAGGTAAGATAACTTATATATGATCACTGCATTTATTGTGGTCTGGACAAAATTTGCTCTGTCAATTTATTGCTGTTGTAAGGGGCTGGCTTTTTCCTGAAACATAAGTTACCCTGGCATAAGTATGTGTCAGCCTGAGCTATATGTTTGTGTTTGTTACCTGGAATGTTTCCCATGAAGTACTGCAATTTTTATCCAACAGATAAAATCTCCAGGGGAACAGACAAGGAAAAATTGAATGGGTACCTGGTAGTAGATACGGAACAAGCAGAGAAAATTTGGAGAAGGTGTTTCCTTGTAATTGTAATTTGTAGACAAGCGCTTGTACAGTGTCTTTTTGACCGCCACTTGTCTTTTTCCAGTTTGCCACAAACAGAATACAGCAGCACGACAGTCGGCAGGACCTAAATGGAAACAGAGGGGAGCAGTTACCTGACAACAATGCAGCTGCACAGAAAAACAGTAAGAACAAAAGCTCATGTACAAAACTTAATAATAGGGCTAGTAGTACCAATGTATCCAAGGCAAATTTTGTATGAATGCTGTGGAAGCGGTATTGTGTAATTTTATTTTTAGAGCAGTTATGAATGTGAAATTAATTGTTATGAATGTCCACAGGTGTGGCTCTGCTACAAGAAGAAGAGAAGACAACACTGAAGAAAGTCAGATCATTTGGAACACTGAGAAGAGAGTTTGAATTGTCTGATTGTTACCACTTCTGTCGACAAGGCATTGAGGTTTGTGCATTGTCTGCAGGTTCAAGGATGTGGACTTAATACGCCTGTGTTTGTTCTGTGCTACTAGGTCAATCTGTCAAGGTTTGATTGGTCCTTTTATGTCAATTTTGCAACTTTCCTTTTAGAATAATTTTGAAGCTGACCATGCTGTTGTAACAGTGGGGGGTTTATAGGCGCTACCAACAGATCCGGCAAACAGGTCTAGACCTTTTCGGCCGAGCGGTTAGAGTGTCTGACTGGGGCCCGGGAGGTTGTGGGTTTGAATCCCCGCCCGGGACCAGTGGGTTTTTACGGCTCCTCCTGTTTCTTACAGTGGTTCCCACACCGGCCCTGGGAGTTCTGGCAAAGAGTGCCGCTCCAGGGATGTCGAATTCGGAAGATTCAAGGACGAATCTTGAAAAGAAAAGGGGGAGTAGTGTAACAGTGGGGGGTTTATAGGCGCTACCAACAGATCCGGCAAACGGGTCTAGACCTTTTAGCTCACTCAGTTAGAGCGTCTGCCTGTGGCCCGGGAGCCGTGAGTTCGAATCCGGCCCGGGACCAAGGGGTTTTTATCTGTTTCTACTGTCTCCTCCTGGTTTCTTACACTGTTAGCCATATTATAAATCCGTGTTGTCCTTTCTGCTCCTTAGAGACTAGTATAACAAAAAGTTCTAAGGTGATGCAAGCATTAGTTGCTATATTAATCTATCTAGGGTTATCAGACTTTAGACTAGAGTAAACACTGTCTGCAAGCAGGAGCCAATGCCCTCACGTACGGAGGACATTGACTTTGGACAAGGTATAAGGATTTATGATCCAGACTAAACACAAATGCCTGGATGATTGTTTTACAGGCAATTGCAGATGACAACGTAACAAAATGCTTTTCTGCTGCAGGTAAGCCATGTTTTTATAATCAACATGAATTTTGGATCCGATTTTAATTTTTGAGCTTTATTTAGAAGGTGTGGAAGAGTGTCTGTCTTGTTTGAGCCTCACTGAAATCTATTGTTGGGGTACAGAACTAACCTCTCTGACTTGATTTATCTTTAGAGTTGCCATCATGGAATCTGTTGACAAGAACAAACACACATTATGAGTTTGTAAGGTAAGAATTACAAGTGTAATACTATATCAGTTGCTGTGACTGCAGATTGAACTTTCTTTGTTCTGTCTACTTATGTTTGCTAATGCAAAGGGACAAGTAAATAGCAATATAGCAAAAAACTTTTAAAACCATTAATGGTTTTAAGAATCTTTTAAGTACTAAAAGTATGCATGATAATATGAGTTGCATTGTGTTGATTGTAACATTAGTTGATTACCCGTCTGGCTATTGTGTAGCTGAGGATACATCTGTTGTTGGTAGGGATATCATAGGTTGGTAGCGATATCACAATATGAGTTGAGGTACAGTTATGTAGCATTTGATCTACATGTATCACGAAAACATGGTATTGTGCTCACAGTGTGCGGCTCACCATCCTGTGGGTGATAGGGTTCCTCTTCAGGTACTGCTGTCTCCTGCCCATGAGGTAAGTGCTGTGCTGTGTGGATAAAAATGTTCTGCTTCAGCTCATGTCCACCACCATTTATATACATGTACTGTAAGTCTACAAATTTCCGCGGTATATTTAGATTCGCGGCATTCGCGGGGACCTTTGTACCGCGAATCTATTTCCCCGCGAATATGTTTTGCGTAAGTGCGCCCCCCTCCCCACATGCATTCACGACGGTAAGTGAAACACAAACACACGCGACAAACACAAATCACTGCAAATCAACTTTATTCTTAGCAAATGTTGAGTACCAAAATTTTTTAAGTTATACTGATGTCAAAAAATTATAATATTATGAGACATCGAATCGCGATACTGCGGCACTGGCCGTGTCAACCGTGTACCGCCGAAAAAAATCTATGCGTGCAGAGCGCCGGCCATGCGCGCCCGGGCGCTTGAAAATTGCGGGAACATCGGGCATATCTACAAGTATTTTTATGAAAAATATAACGGCTGGTACCTGGGAAATGTTAGTTGGTTATCTTTTGCGCCCTGCTTTGCGGGCGTTTTTCTTCTTCTTGTTTTGCTGGATAGAAACGCTCACCGTGGGCCTACAAAACCGAAGGTGACCTTTGCATACTTCCGGGTTCAAAATCTCGCCGAAGACGGCATAAATTTGCTTAGTGATATATATATTCTTTCGATTATGCATTTCTTCACTAGAGTATCGATGTGTAGTCGTGGAAAATAGCATTTTAGCGCTTATTTCCGAACAAAGAAAATTGTTTACACGTGCGTCAGATCGATCGTCAGCTTTACCGCCGGCAGTCTCGCGCGGTGCACGAAACAAATTTTTGCGCCGCGTTTTAGGAGATAAATGCCGGAACACGAACTTTTATTATTTTAAATATACACTTAACACATTTTTCTTTGAAAAATAGCCAAGGAGAAATCGCGAATCTAAAAATACCGCGGATTGTCCATTTTCCCGAAACCGCGAACTTTAGGCCCCGCGAATCTAAAGAGACTTACAGTATTTGCTTGCCTTAAATTAAAACCACTCTGTTTAAAAAAAAAGTGTCACTTTTGTCAAATTATTTTTATGCCTAACAGCTCTTTGGTTCTTAAATGCTTTTTAAATGTAGATCTTGGTGATCATATGTGTATGCTTGAATTGCTTGCTACTGCTAAGATGGAGGTTGAGTGTGCTTCCCTCTTGTTGCATACCCAAGTACTAGTAAGCGCAAGAATGGTCATACAAATTACAAATTTGAAAACTGAGCTTTCAATTCAAAAGATCAGATTAGAAAAAGACATACAAATAAAGTTGATTGGACCACAAACAAATATGAGCGAGTCTTCTTAATTTTGCTTGATTCTGAATGAATTTTAGCCATATAATTGGAACATGAAATTGAAACTGAATGAAGAAACAGTGAAAAATTGTCATTGAATGAATAAACAGTGACTAACTGATTTAAACTTAGGTATGCACAAATAGGTTCTATGTTTTTTTTCCTTTTTTCTACTCATGTCCAGATTCATTCTTACTGTTGTGAGCGTGAACTGTTTTCTAATGACAACTGCTGCTATAGGCCTCATGCCTAACTCTCGGTGAGTCTAACCTGTGTTGTTTGAAAATTTGTCTCAATGGAGAGGTGTCTGCTTTCCCTCAGAACTGGGATGACCAAGTTTGATGTTCATTTAGTGAAAATGTTGCTGTGACAGAAACATATATTTCTAATACTGTAAAGTAACCTACTGTAGCACTTCAAAAAGAACTATTGCAGAGAAAACTGACACTTCTTCATAGGGCAATGTATGTGATTATAATGATAGGTGGAAGGATGAATTCCACGCACTGGGTGGTGTTGATCTCTGAGATTTAGTTCGTCTCCTTGACACCTTTCAAGGAGAAGAATGATAAAAGAGGACACGCCTCAGTTACTCTTGTGGTATTCAACCATTCACCCATCATTTGATGATGATTATGATTGAAAAGTTAATTGAGTCAATGATCATATTACAGATTGCTACTGGCTACAGTCAGCGTCAGTATCTTCATGGCCGCCACGGCTACCCTTAGTATCTTGCCTAATACTAGGTAACATTGTGACTCTCTACACCATATTGTATGGTGTTCACTTTTGTATAAATGTACCTCCATTTTTGTTTTCTGTTTGTAATATTGTAGCATGTTGTGAATCTGTTACTAGAGGGTTTATCCTTAATTTGTTTATTGTGATGAGATATAATCATGAAGACCAAATGTTGTAGGGATGCATGTGAATATGTAGTGCTGCAAGTAAGATCACTATATGTATTTCCCTGTACTGTGATAGGGTATATTTTCACTATAAATGTGTTTATTATTGCATAAGATGCTCTTAATTGCCTCTGGCAATTAATACTGGCAACTTTGGCATGCACAGTTTTGTTCTTGGGGACACTTGCTATCACTCCTTGCTATAAGCTACCAGGATGTATGTTAATTCTTATGAATATGTTTCCAGTTACAAGAGACATGTCAGCAAGTATGTCAGCCTGATGTGTTACCGTATCCTGGCCAGAGCCTTTTCAGCTGTGGTTACCTACCATAACAAGTGAGTACAATGCATCTTCTAATTTTCTCCATCACATGTATGTTTATCACATTGATACACATGTATGTGGACTGGCTTGTGCATAGGTACATTTGTATTTCAGGTTTGTTCCACAGATATAAAATAAATGGTAAGACTGTTGCGTCATTCCCTTCAGAGAGAATCGAGCCAAGGGAGGAGGCATCTGTGTTGCAAATCACACCTCACCCATTGATGTCATCATCTTGGCTTGTGATGCCTGCTATGCCATGGTGAGTATCTGCTAAAACTGCCACCAGAAACGATACACAGAAGTATTACAGAGAGGATTTATGACTTTTGGGTTTGCCAGAATTGTGCTGTTGCTTTTGATTATCCATTTGTGATTGCTGCACTTGAACCTACACTACAGGTTGGTCAGGTCCATGGCGGGTTCACAGGGATGATCCAGAGGGCCATGTCAAGGTCAGAGGCTCACATCTGGTTCCAGAGGTCAGAGGCCAAGGACAGACATGCTGTCAGCAACAGGTGATCTTACCTTCTTATAATCATTTGCTACCCATTTTATGAGGTTTGGAACTTTTGAATTCTGTTATCTGTATTGAGTATTGTTACTTTTCTTTTTTGCATGCTGTTCAGATATGAAGTTACCATGAAAACCATAAAAAATAAGTGTGAGAAGTAAAACCCTTTTCTGGTCTTTCCAGGTTGAAAGAACATGTTTCAGATCCTGAAAAGCTGCCCATTTTGATTTTCCCGGAAGGTGAGTGGTTGTTCCTTCAATTTTGTTATGGTGACAGAAGAAGAAAGTAGACGTATAGAAAAAGTAGCTATGGTTTGAAATACATGTACATGTACTGGTAGTTGCCTTTCTGTGTTTTTGGATGTTAGAAAGGTTGACATACAGCTGTATGATCATCATTGTCTACCTGTTTCCTGCAGGAACTTGCATTAATAACACGTCAGTCATGATGTTCAAAAAAGGAAGTTTTGAGGTGGGCGGCACCATCTACCCTGTTGCTATCAAGGTAAGTACACCTGTACAAACTTCAGGCATTGAACAAACTGGTAGTCAATTGTTAGTCTTTCTCTTTGTTAGGGTATCTTACATTTTATTCCATTTTAAACAGTCATATCTTTTTTAGTACTGCACTTGGACTGGTTTTAATCAATGATCAAACCAACTTTTTGTGTTTTTTGAATGATAAAAGCTAAATCACTGAGGGCAGGTATATCATGGAACGATGAGATCCTTCTTATGCACCGGTATTCAGTTTAACAGTACATGTGTTGTATCATATTTACAGTATGACGCCAGATTTGGTGATGCATTCTGGAACAGCAGCAAGTACAACATGATCCAGTACCTGCTCCTGATGATGACGTCCTGGGCCATCGTGTGTGATGTCTGGTACCTGCCGCCCATGCACAGAAAAGTGGGTAGTTTCCATCAATCCCTGGCCTGGGTGCCATCCTTTGATGTTCTAAAACACATGTCTGTGGTAAACGCACTGTTGTGGTCACTGAAAGGTGGTGATGGTAGAATCATCTGTTTGGGAAAGTTAAAAATTCAGGATGTTTCTTATCGTTGAGGATATAACATGTTAAACATATTGTTTAAATAAATGGACTGCCCATGATATGTGAACTTCGTATTAAAAACTTTGAAGTCTTGTTTGAAGTTCTTGAAAATTCCGTTCGGGATATATTAATGTAGTCGTATCATTTACAAGCAACAAAAAGTGAATTCTCTCCAGTTAGGTATGTGTAGTTAACCAATCTAATCATATCTGTGGTATTTATTGTTATGCTTATATGTATGATGATTCTAAAAAAGATTTTATGAATTCTGCACAGGAGGGAGAGATTGCTGTGGAGTTTGCCAACAGAGTGAAGCACGAGATAGCGCAGAAGGGAGGACTGGTGGACTTGTTATGGTTGGTCATCTCATTGACCTTTTTTTCTTCTTAATCATTTTCACACTTTTCTTACCTCTTGAAGTGCAATGAAGTGCAGTGAGCCTTAGAAACATGTCATGTAAATGGAAAATAAGATAAAGAAATGAAGAGGAGCACAGGTGTGAACTGTAAACTAGAATCAGGTGGAACAAACTGGAATTTTCCAATTATTAGACAATGGTTGTGCCAAGTCTTCTGCTTTGAGACAAGGCCATGATCATGTCAGTTGTACATTTATAAGGATTGGTCCTTTCCTCCTGATTGGTTTTGTCTAACAAATCTGTCTCTCACATATCCAGGGATGGACAGCTCAAAAGGATGACAGTGAAAGAGGACTACAAGAAGGAACAGCAGAAGGAATACAGCAAGCTCCTGAAGGTGGAGTAACAGACAATTGAAGTGGGCCAAAGACATGTTTAGTTTTTATCAGAAAAAAAAAAGAAACTGGCTAATGCTGTGCAGAGTGCTTTGCTAGTGTCTAGTAGCCATAGCATTCAGTTCAAACATTAAAACCTTTCAAATGAAATCTGCAGATAATAAATACTTGCAAGAAATAGTTTCTTGTGTTAATGGTAAATATTTATCATACTGCTAATGTATTATGTGATTACTTAATATTATAATACATGAAGTGTATATGATGGAAATTGTAGATATGAAAATGTTGCTTACAAAGGTTTTTTGATGATGGAAATCTATTATTCAAATGTTTGGTGACAATTATAACATGATATACTATAACCGTCATGTGGAACAAGAAGGATTTAATATTTAAGTTGATTTGTAGACTTGTGAAATCCTGATAAAGGTTGTGCTGCTGATCACGAATTTGCCAGGTTACAATACTAAGAGATGGGCCCTTTTTGTATACATCTCTAGATAATTGTGAATAATAGTAATACATTTTAATGTATGTAAAAATTCTATGGTTGCAACTTGCAATGGTAAGTTTGGCCCAATCATCTAATACACTTGTACTTTGGGAAGTCCTGTGAGATTATAATGTTATACATGTATGTACTGTACTTGCAGTCTTTTGTACCCATTTTAATGATTTTGATGGCTGGAAGTGGTTCTAACTGTCCACAGTTTCCAAATTCCATCGGCAAACTATTGGTCACTGCCGTATCCATGTGTGTGCACATTATATGAAGCACATATGATGGTTCGGTATGTCAGTATTTGGTATAGTCATCATGTGAGGTCCCTTCATGGTTTGCTTTTGATGTGTGCACCACCTAGTGATTCACAGGTACACTGCATAAGTTAAGGTACTTCAATACAAAGTCAAACCAATGCAGTATAATTAGTGATTTCAATAGTAATGGCACAAGAATAGCAAAGGTACAGCACAGAGCTTAAGACACGTTTTATCATGTAACACTCATTTCTGATGTGCCTTTGTACAAAAGACAAAAAAGGTTTGAGGTCCAATTTAGAATGTACGTGTAGTGCCAAGGATAAATACAAAAGGATTCATCAACTGCAACTTAAGGTGTCAAATGCCCTAGCTATATTCTGTTACTGCTGTATGTGATACTTGTCTTGTGAATAAGGGAGAAAGCAAACACAAAAACGTAAATCTTTGGTACATTCAGTACAAAATTATACTAGCTGACTTAACTGCTGAAATATGGTACTGTGTGAAGCTTTGTTAAAATAATGCTAGAAGGAAATGTTTTAAAATCGATAACTTACATAGATGACAGAATTATTTTAACTGACTAGAAACACAAGTAACATTCCTGTATGAGGAGCCGTAGATAGTCTTAGGTAAGCACTGTTAGCAAAGATTAGCTAAGCTATATTGTCAGTGCAGCTATTATATATATAATAGGGTTAACCCTACTTACACTAGCCAACTACTGCCCATCTGCATTTAAGACCCCTGCAGCAGTGTAATCAATAGATACTACTACTACATTGTACTATACCGTGTTGTGAAGTGTACTTTCAAAAGTCCTTTAATTACAATTGCTGTCTTAATACGATGTAAGTAAGGGTGCCATGTCATCTGTAGAAGGGGAGTATTTCATGCATTAACAAGTTCTTTTGTGGTCATCTTAAGTCGTACTGTTTTTGAGTTACCTTTTTTTTTGCTTTCTCAAGGCAATTGTTGGTTTTACATTATTACTGATGAGGTATTCTCCAATCAAAGTATTTCAGAGATTTCCTAAGTACTAGAAATCTGTTGCATATTTTTTGTAAGTCTCACGTACATCTTTATTTAGTTAAAAGCTTTTCCTAAAAGCTGTACAATTTCATAGTAAACACTTTCGTAAGTCAAATACACCTACCGTGTAATAGTGGTTATTGTTTGCCATAATTTATTAGGATGTTCACATTTTGTCCCTGTACTTCATCCTTTTTATCTCGGCTACTGGGAGCATGTGTAGATATGAGAGTACATGGGACAAATGGAATTCATAAGACATTGTGTGCACAAAACTATAAAACAACCAGCTAAAACACTTTTTTTGTAAGAGCAAACCTTTAAGGCCTAGGAAAAAAAATGTTGTGTTTCCGGTTACCCGACCGACCCTATGAAAAACCCCCCGACCCTAGCCTTTTTTTGGGCCGACCAAAAATTTCGAGCGGCTAGCGGTCGGTTTTCAAAATTGGGGATTTTATCCCCGATAAATGTGCTCGTCATTCCAATTTTCTTCGGTCGGGCGGCGTGGATCGAGCGCTAATAATTTGCACGGATCGGGCCGCTATTCAATTCCATTGTCGGCACAATCCTGTGACGCAGGTAGGAATGGGGTCCCGAAATTGGTCGATTTCGCGCGCTGATGCGCGCGCGCGCAAGTGGCCACGCCGTAGCGGCGCTGCGCGCGGGCGCGCATAACGCCCCCCAGTAGCGGCGCTGCGCGCAGTTTGTTGGTACGACTATGGATTTTGTTGGTACGCGAAACCTGCCAGATCGGCCCTTGTCTGCGCGCGCGCGTATAGCGCCACGCACTAGCAGCGGTGCGCGCACTTTGCCTGGTAAGCCTGGGGACTGTGTTGGCGCGCGCGTAGAGCCAAACCAGGCCTTGGTTGTGCGTGCGCAATTTCTGCCATTTACGATCGGCGTTGCGCGCACGCATCTCGTGCTTAGTCAATAGTATTATACTATTATAGTTAACAACAATGATAGCTCGGGAATAAGATATTACACACTTGCAAGTAAACTGAAGGAGGAAAATGGTCAAACAACTGATGTATCATGCAGCTCTAGCGTGGTGTGTGATATTCAAAAGTTTGACAACAACGTAGCGTTTTTGCTGCAATCAATACTTGGCTTTAAGCAAGGAGCTTCAAATATTGCAGTTTTCATTTATCCCTTTGCACAAATAAAAACATTAATCAACAAATGCAAAACAAAGAAATAAACAGAGTGCAGGAGGAGGAAAGAAGCCTGTAAGACTTGTACAATGTCCTTGAAACTTACGAAACATTAATCCTGAAAGTAACAAATAATAAATAAAGAACACCTATTTAGCAAGGTCATAAAAAGGCAGAATACTAGAAGAGAAAACAGATGAGAATTATCAAACTATTATAAGCGTGATCAGTTACCTTGCAGCGTGTCTTCGAGGAGAGCAGATGAAGTGGAACATTTCTATCGGAGCTGCACCCACGCGTGACCGAACGTCTAAACCCAAGCGGGATAATAACCTTTGGTGACGTCACTAATTAACATACTTACAATAGATGTCAAAGGTCATGCTTTGTTACTAACCAAACAAACACGCGCACTAATACAGATGCGTGTACGTACAACAGCCTCGCTTCCGCGAGAGAAAGTAGTTCGTTCCATGATTTCGGGGGCTGACGCCGAGTCTGACACGCCTTATATGAAAGGTTGTCGCTGGAATCTAATACCATGTGTCTTCCTAATCTAAACGTATTCATAATACGAGTATCTAAGCTTCATTTACTACTCCTATAAAATTTCTAACCAATGACCTTTCGTTAGTCTTTCAATAACCTCACCCGAAGGGTATTTATTTATTTTATTTATTGGTTTGGCTGGTACAAGACAGCCAGGGCAGCCCAACGAAGGGTATATCACGCCGTTAGGGGCGGTATAACCCCTACCAATACGGTCTGATAAATCCCACCCGAAAATAAGTGCGAATTGCCTTTTTATTTTTAACATGTTGTTGGTTTTGATCCGACAGGAAATGTATGTGAAAGAGCAGAGATTCTATTTACTGAAAGTATATAACTTATATATAATTACTACCGATTTCGGGGGCGAAATGCAGATACCACCCCCCAAACACGCGATGTCATGTCATAATTTGTAATATTATAATTATATATTCCCGGTTTGCCTTTTTTTAAATAATCATCTACCCTGGACAGGTCCTAGCTGTGTCGCCTTTAAAGTTATGTGCGGAATTATGTCTCTCGATCATGAATTCCGAGTTTCAAGTCAAAACGCTTTAATGTTCGCCTAGTTTTGGGGAAAATAACAAGAAATTTTGTTGCCCCCTAACAGTGGTCAAATTGCCGAAAATGGGCTAAGATGTCTGTTGCCATGCTGGAACGTGGATGGCCGATCCGATATGAAGACAAGACTTTAATATATTGTTTTGTCGTTTACTTTGATGTGGTGATGTACTCAGTATTTCATTTTCAAGGCAGAGGAAGCTGTGGTACAAGAAGCTTACAAGTTACTTGTCGACAAACTGGGTGTCATGAATGCCAGAATTGATTTCTCCTTCGTTAATGTCCACCGCATATAGCGTATGAAATGGTAATCCGATCATCGTAAAATTCGACTCAATGCCTGAGAGGGAAGTTGTTCTGCGCCGTACCTACCGTCTAGAGCTAAAGTCAGGCGTCGGGATCAGTGAGCACTTACCTGTCTATCCAGGAGAAGAAGCAACAGCTCCGAGAAGCCTACAAACCTGTCAAGGCCAAGGGCGCAAAACCCAGGTTTCGTCTCCAAGGAGAAACCAGGACTCTCTGCGTAGCTGGCAAGTACGAACTTTACAACACTTGATGGAATACTTCAAGTCTTGTCATCAGGGAATGTATTATTTAAGCCCGGTACGTCAAGATACCTTATTCAGTATTTGACCGTACCCGCTTAGTTAACACCGAGACCAATCGTATATTATATATAGTATATAATAAAGTATATAATTTGAAATGGGTTCGTTTAATACAGGATGATAAAAGCCCATATTAAGAAAGATGATTTTTTCGATATTAGTCAGGGATGGGAAAGATGGTAACGTTCTTGTAATATATGACATTGACAATATATCTTAAAAAGATAATTTCTATCATTACTATTTAAAGTACAATCTAGCTACTGCAAAGTGGACTTCATCTTCTATCTTCAACGTTTTTGATTAGCTTTATAGTTTGTCAGCTTTTCTTTTGGTATCTTGGCATAACGAAAAATATATCAAAACAGTCTCTGCTTGGTCAGTACAAAAGAGTAGCATAGCATCTTTCGCACATCGAACGTGGCCAATCTCATCAACCCTACATTACCATAGGATTATCTATGGCATAGGCCAATAAAACAACACCAAATCATCTTACCTTAAGTTTTCAAGCCTCTGCGCATACACCTCTAAAGAGGCCGGGTCATCTTCCGCCACACGGTAAGTCACATCTGAGTAGCGTCTTTGCGTTCTCCAACCAGCGACAAAACACCAAAATCTGACAGAGTTTAAAGATGGTGACTTCTCTTCATCATGACGCACAGGTACAGGTTAGTAAGGCGAATGCCAATTTTTTCAACACGACACGAAGTTCATTCAAAGCCCTTGTTAAGCTTTTCGTAAAGAAATCTAAGAACAATCTTGATATTTTTTTCTAAAATATTTGATATCAATCTCAGGGAGCAAGAAACAATATTAAGATTTATCTTAATGTTACTTGAAAGTTCTTGTAATATGTGCAAAAGGTAGATCTTTATCTTATGATCAAAAACATCTCTAAAGGTACAAATTGACAAAAAAATTCAACCAAAATCATTGCATGTAAGTTGCATGACTAACTTGCACAAAGATTCCGTCTTCTTGTCGTGACTCCCCGTACGACCGCACCGTAACCACACATTCACTCATTTTATTTAACCAGGGCAAGTACACCAAGTCGGCATTCCTCCTGCCAAGTAGCAGCCTTAGCAATGTTGGCGTTGAGGTTGCAGTTTTTCGTCCTAGTAGATTAACCTCACATGCATGTTGAGTCATAATTACTTCGCTTTGCACGTGCGGCGTGCTTAATTCATATACGGGGATTACTGCATTGCGGGCTTCTGTCCGTCCCCTGATCATGAAATTCTACTTATGGTGGTTTTATTTGGTTTGATCATGGAGGTAGCTACCTCCATGGTTTGATGTTGTAGCAGTCTGAAAAAAGACGGAATCAAAAGCTTTACTAAAATCTACAAAGCATGCATACAGACGCTATGCATCTGTATCAGACCAAGATCATGGCCCGTTTTCGAAGATTCACTTATCTGTTTCTTGTGACAGTTTATTCATGCCTGATGTTATGTTGTGTTATTCTATTTCATGTTATGTTGTTATTGATTTGGTTGAAAAGATATACAACCTACGACGAAATGTAGATGTGTACAATTATTTCTAAAAGAAACCAAAATATTCGAGTAACCAATTTTCTTATCCTGTTTGACGTGGAATACAATTTACCAGCGTACAACGCTTCATTATCATTTTCTTATATTTCATACATAACTGCTATCATATACAATGTACAATGTACTTTGTTACCCTTATGCTTTGAATGCCTGTTTGTTTGTTTTGACATACATCTGTAATGTTCTTTGTTTTGATGACGACACGAACATAAGCTATGAGCTTGAGTATGTCGTTATTTTATTTTGTCATCAGTTGTAATTAAGAAATAACACTTACCGCGAAGTCGCTTGTCAAGCCGATACGGTCGGGCAATGGATGACGGGATAGCGTCGCAAGTTGACAGTCGCCATCTTGTCAGCTTGTTGTTTTGGTAGAGAGGATAGGGAAGTTGCAAATCCCTTTGTACAAGCAAGGACGTCTCGTTGAACGTCCTTGGTACAAGCTAGTAATAGTACGCCACCTTATTCTGAAGATGTAATATGTGTCTTTAGCTTTATTCACAAGTCTAAGGCATGAAGGGAGCCGGTAAAGGAATACTTTGGTCCGATATTTTGTACGAAATTATCGGGGTGGAGGCGGCAGTAATGCTTCGAATAGTTGACCGACTCACACATATTCTCATATTTGTGCAGCGCTCGTACTTATGCATGACTTCGTAAATTTACAAGGACCAGCCATCACACTCTCGCGGACATTCATGCTACATACGTAATACCCGATCGGAGCTTCTACTCTACTCTACATATACTCTTTAAGATAAATCTGTCGCCGACTCTACATTCCGTATTTTCGGTGATTCGTTGAAGTTTCTCAACGAATAGTTCTCCCAGTCCTTTAGGGGAAGGCAAACAATTAACTTACTGACTTTTATAAGAGAGTCTTGCCAAATTGCCAGCTTCCTTTCAATCAAACTTTCTGGGTACGGGTATATTCATAGAGGTAGGATTGTATCTCTAAAAAAATACCAGGCGCAAACCTTGTCATGGATAAAATTCACATCAGGCTCCGGCCGCGGCACATTTCTCTGTTTTGACTCCTAAAGGACCGAATGCTAAATATGAAGAATGACTGTGTACAAATGATTTTTCTCTCACTTTGATTTTTAACCTACTTGATTTCTATCAAGCAACCACAATGGATGACGGGATAGCGTCACAACCTCACTGTCGCCATTTTGTTATTTTCAACGGTAAAGGGAAGGTATAGCGAGTCGTAAATCGGATCCCATTCTAGAAGTTAATATTAGATGCCACCTTATTCTTGTTCTGTGCAAGCAATAAAATGTATCTAGAGTATACTTTAAGTAGCTTTTTTGCATATTTTTGCCCAGGTAGGCTGAGTAATAGCCCTCCATGGTTTGAGGCATAAAGGGATCCATTGTTTTACTCAAAATGGTCGGATCCGGAGGAATATTGTGATCTGACAAAATGTAGTGTGCTACATGGAGAGACGTTGTTTGACCGTTTCCAAAATCATATCCAGTTCCTTGATTAACTTTTTTTTGTGTGTGTATACAGCAAACTTTGCGGAGTCTCAAGTCATATTCCTTCCGACATGTATGTAACGAATTCGAATCAAGCCTCTTTTCAAATCCAACCGGAAAAACTCAAAATGTCGTGGCGTCGTTGTCATCATCAGTCATATTACGTCCTTGGCTGTTTGAAACGCACACCCCAACGTTTTCGGCTTGATTGTACAACGTACAAATTCTAAGATTTATTTCGACTGCGACACGGCGCTATCGCCGCATCAACACGGCAAATGTGCCACGAAAAAAAAACCCACCGCATTGAATGACGGGATACTGCTACCCACGCTACGTCCGCCATCTTTGTTTCCTCCTCTGAACGCTATTGTGCTTCGTCAGCTGTTGCAAATTTCCATGTAATCTTCGGACATCGAAAGCTAAAAAGTCCTTAACATTGAAATGAACAGTTTATTGTTGCATTAGTTACGATAATTTTCGCGTGCTAGTCGGAGTTTCTGAAAATTATGTATGAAGGTAACAACGAAGAGATTCTTCGTGATATCGACGAGTTTCATGACGATCGTGTGCATAACGAGTCTAATCTGTACGCTACTTGATTGAAGTTTTCCATTGATCAAACTTTATTTTTGCTACTTTTTGTGATGTAAACGTATGTACAGGCTGATGATTGTGCATGTATGTATTCGTGGCTTGTTTTGTACGTAGCAAACGCAGCAGTGTTGGAGTAGAGTAGAGTAGAGTTGGAGCGGAGAGCACATGATAGCTAACATATCGCAGCTTTCTTCCAGTCATTACTGTGAAAAGAAAAACAAAACACGTAAACGAAAAAATATTACAAGTAAACTTACAGATCCAAATACAGTTCACTGTTACTAATGGGTAAACATGACCCGTGTTTGTATTCTTTGTGTCGTTATTTGTGTTCGATGCCCTGTCCACCCCCATCCCCATTGTTTCAAGTCCGAGAGTTTGAGCTGGAAAGGCCGGGTGCGCTGGCAAATTGGCTTTTAAAAAAAAGCGACATCTACTGTATACTGTGGATACGTAAGATAAACATCATACAAAATTAAAGATATCAGGATAAACAAAATCAAAGGCACCAGAACACGTACGAATACGCCAGACAATTCCTGCGCGCAACGCCGATCGTAAATGGCAGAAATTGCGCGCGCACAACCAAGGCCTGGTTAGGCTCTACGCGCGCGCCAACACATTCCCCAGGCTTTTCAGGCAAAGTGCGCGCACCGCCGCTAATGCGTGGCGCTATACGCGCGCGCGCAGACAAGGGCCGATCTGGCAGGTTTCGCGTACCAACAAAATCCATAGTCGTACCAACAAACTGCGCGCAGCGCCGCTACTGGGGGGCGTTATGCGCGCCCGCGCGCAGCGCCGCTACGGCGTGGCCACTTGCGCGCGCGCGCATCAGCGCGCGAAATCGACCAATTTCGGGTCCCAATTCTTAGCTCTGTGACGATGAATTGTCGATCTCGCCATGACGCCACAAAGAAAACGTTGTCATTGGTAGAAAATCTGACACCCCGCTGGCGTTTCACAACAAAATTTTCATGTAAACAACTCCGACTGTCTTTGTTTACATCGCGAAAGCTCACCGATACAAAGTAAAACTCCCGCCGGCCGGCCGCGCCCGATCGCATGGTTGCGGCATGGCGCTAAGTTTTCGGCAGCTCGACGGAAAAATAATCCATCCCCAGAAGAAATGTTACGCATGAAAATAACAACTACAACTTGTTTTCCTCGTTATATGAGTTTTTGAGGCCGTAAAATGTTTAAAACGGTTGAAATTTGCTCGAAAAAACGGCTCGAAAATTCACGGCGAGAAAGACAACATGGCCGACCTGTTTTCACAATAACAATGGTCAAAGGTCAAGATAGCATCCAAATGTATAGATACATGTAATAAGTACATATTACAGTGCTAAAACGATACTTTAAACGCATGAAAAATATTTTTTTCGGCTACAACTGAAATAAAAATTCAGTTATATTTTAGTAAGGTTAATTTTCAAACATTACTGAGAAATTTTCCGAATTAATTGGTTTCTTGTGTAATTTTGTTGTTTCTATGTATGTGCGGTTGGATGCTGTCATTGACAAACGTACCCTTTACATATTGGGAGAATCAGATGAGATATTAGAGATTATCACGCTTAGTACCGTGACCCGAGTGTCTCTCAAAAATTGTTTTTGAGTGGAGTTTATAAACATGATCACATTTTTATTTGTTCAGCTGTGTCAATATGTGATTTGTTTGAGAAATAGGATTTGGTTTAGTTTTTAATATATTAATGTCAGTTAACATCTTTGGAATAAATTGCTCCAAGTTCCAGGTAGTAAATACATGTACATTTTGTATCATGTATTTTTCACTTGTTGAACTTGTGGAAGCACCG